ATTTACGGATGTATATGTATGCATGGGAGAAAAAGGACGCATTTTTGGATGATAACGGAGTTTCTTTTACTCTTAACAGATCTTTCAACAGGGCTTCTGACACTTCCCCAGTTTCGACATAAAGACAATACAGATGCAAAGGTACCCATCTTAATGCCTGTATAATCCAGGATGACCTTTTATATGTGAAAGCTCAATTGCAATGATGTATAACCAGGTCCGTTCATAGGTCATATTTTTCAAACAGGGTCATATACACCCAATCAGCCATTGATTTGGTATCTTGCATCTTCTCAAGGCTGTTTGGGCAGATGTTACTGAGGGGGTAGAGCGGACGTTCTCTAACCAGAAGGTCAGCAGTTCGATCCTAGTCTTGGGTAAATGGCAATAATCTGTACTGTAAAGAGCTGTGAGTGGTCATCAAGACTAGAAAAGTGCTATATAAATACAGACCATTTACTTTCAGTAGGATAATGTCACAAACACAATATGAGTTCAGTGACCTCCCTTGTCTCCAGGGGTCTCATTTATAACCGTTGTGTGTGCACAAAACATGAAACATTCATACGCCACTTCCCTAAGGGATTTATAAAAAAAATGATGGGAAAAATTAAAATTTCCACGCAAAGTCTGACCCATGCGTACGAACATTTTGGAAACTGGAAAATGACGATGCAGACGTGAGGTAGTGAACTGAAGCAGATTACTGATCCACTCCACCGTTAACATTAAAAACAACATTGTTATTTTTTTCTCGTGTGACAAAACTGTTCCGTAAGAATCTTCATTTGAAAAAACGTACAGCAAATTAACTTCAGAAACCATTACACAGCGTAGTTACAGACCTGAGTCATTAAAAGTTTTTAATTACATCTTCTTACTTGCTGCAGTCTACGTGACTGTGCCATCAGGCGCACAGAGCACATTTAAGATAACAAAAAATAAAGAAAAAATATTTTCTATTTCCAAATAATATCCCAGAGTGGAGGTTAGGATCCAATGATGTGAGAAGTAATCAGTCAAAAGGTATGTCTTACCAGCTGGAAAACTGGTAGACATACCTTTTGCCAAATTATATTTGTATTTTATTTAAAGTGTTTTTTGTTAACAAAGCCAGATAGTCCATTTTATTAATGTTCTGTTTGTTTGTATTTTATTTTAATTAGAAAGGATATTTGAATGTTCTTAATTCTAATTCTAATTCAAATGTCAGATGGAATATTCCTAAAGTCCCTTGCTCTTTTAAAGGGTTTACTTGCATTATTATGCTGTTATATTATCATAATGTCAGTGGTGAGTACATTTTCTCAAGAAAATGACAATAATATAAATTATTGCAATAATTTCTCTGACAATATATCGTCCAACAAAATTTGTTATCTTGACAAGCCCACCTCAATATTTTTAATAATGCATCAAGTTAGAAGTTTCCTTTCACAGTTTACAGCTCGTTACAGCACGCTTTACAGCTAGTTCTCTCAGAATCTCTTTCATATCCAGGCAAAATTGGTATTGTAACCAAAAACTCCCTAAATTTGATTTCACCACAAACTCTACTTACATCTTTGTCGGTGTCTTATGTGTGTATGACATTGCACATATGACACCTGCGATTCAGTGCATGTCTGAAGGCAGCTTAACTGAATCTATTTTGAATCAAATCGAGACCTTGTGAATTAGAGTCTAATCAATTTGGGAAATCAGTGGCAATACCAAGCCCTACCCTGTCTTTCTTATACAAAACCACAATAAAGTACCTTCCTTTTTTCCGTACACACTCAGGCCTCACCAGCCACAGAGGGAGAGGACAATGTGCAGAGTGAATGTGTGGACAGTGACCATTTCAGTGGCAGCAATTCAAGCTTCCTGGCAAACGAGAAGCTCATGTCTGTGGACAGTATGAACAGTGATATCACAGGTATGACTCGTCTTTATCTGCTGCAATCTTTGCATGGTATCAGTATCTTATTTTACCTGATAGACTTTATATTTCCTTCTTATTTTAATTGAAGAAATTAACTATAGATTAATCATATGTTGTTCTCAGATGATGACACTGACTTCAACAATTTGCCTGATGATGAACTGGAACTGTACTTCAATAAGCTGGTCCCTCCTGCCATGCAGAGAGGCAGAGTTGAGGGCCAGGAGATTGTCTCAACAGTAAGACTGTTCTCTTGTTTCGTAGACTCTACAGTAGGGGTGCGTGATGTTGAGAAGAAAAAAAAAAATCTTGATATTTTCTGTGATTTTGCCGATAATTAGACCGCTAATGGAGCTTGGCCGGGCTGGGCTCTCTGTCCGGAACAAGTGGACTGCTGTTATTGAGAACAGCTGCTTGAAAATACAGTTTAGTTACAAAAATTATAATTCAGTCATTTCTCATGATTCCAATATCCTAAGCCTTTTTTATTTTCCATCAATCTAGCTCCTTGTGGAGATTTTTTGTAATGTTTTACTATATCTTCTGCACTTTTATTTCAGGAGGACCTCGTGATGTCTGACGTGCGTCTGGCTGCTACAGGTATGGACTCCTGTCCTGCCAGTGATGAGGACACTGAGGATGAGCTGGAATCTGCCAGAGGAAATAAAAATGCATCCAGAACACGGCTGCTGTCAAGCACCTCCAGACAACTGGTCAGAAATCGAAATATATAAAAATTCATTTCTCAATTTCTCAAATATAATAGGCACTATTGGCCTTAGAAACGCTTTGTCAATTATTTACATCTTTCTTACTAAAATGTACTGTAGAACAGACTTTTGCTTCATTACATTTTTTTTTTATGTTCGTGTATATCAACTTGTTGGAACAGGTTGGAGAGAGTAATCGTCCCAGTTTCCGGCCGGGTTTAGAGGGAGGTAGTTCTGATGATGAGTATTTAAGTGGCCGCAGTGGTGCATCTGTGTCTGGGATCGAACACAGACGATCTGCTGAGGGACAGGTCATCAACCCTCCTGTTACAGGTGTAGTATAAACGTTCCTGCCTCATCTATTTCTTTTTTGGCTCTCTGACTTGTTTTTGTGCCACAGCTTGGAAGCCAAACCTCTACAAGATCTCCTGTTTGTATTGTGTCCTTTTGTAACTACAGGGGATGGAGGAGGTGGGGATGGGAGCAGTGGGAGTGAGGAAAGTGGAAATTATGGGGGCGTGTTAACCATCCCTCCTCCAACAACTAATGTTCAGACCACCTATGATGTCCTGCGTGGGCTAGGGATTGTGGGCAGCAGTGCTGTTGGTGAAGATGAAGACAGTGATCTGAATAATCTGGTTGGACATGGAAGGAACAGTCTTTCCAGACATACTGAGGTGAGAATGAGTCACACTCTGGGCACTTAAATGGTTTTATTCTATGTAGCAGGAAGGTGGCTCAGTGGAGCACCCAAAACAAAAGTCTCTAGGGCTGGATATCAGCACTGATTTCCAGATTAATTTCAGTTCACCAAAACATTAAATTACATTCAACCAGTGACAACAATTAACAACGCAACCCACAGCAAGGTTGGGTATCCACCCTTTAGTTCACTCTATAGTATAAATTGCTAATCCATTTCTTGGTAACACATAACTACTTGGTGTACACATAATATTTTACAAAGATATGCATGTGTACTCAAAAAAGCATAAAATTCTAATTAATTATTAGGATTTTAAGGATTGTTTTGAATTTAATGGCACTTTCTCATATACTACAGTTTTTCACTTTGAGACCTGCAGAGTTTTTTTGTTGTTATGCAGATTGGTCACCGGGTGGGTCCTGTAGGAATAGGGGAGGCCAGCTCCTCTCTGGGAGTGTCACTGGGAACTCAGAGGCTCTCTCCTGTGAACTGGAGCATGGTGCTGGACCGACAGGAGGCACTGGTCAGTACAGATGTAAATACAGTCCATTTACATATTTGTTCTGTATTGATTTGATATCGCTGATATCGATATTCTCTGTTATCATAATGAAGTTATTTTATATTCTAGTAGCATCTGTTCAGTAGTAAATCCTCAGTGTTAAACGTTGGCTCTAAACATTTTTGTACTTATGTATTTTTATTGGAGAAAAGTAAGAAAGTTAAGCAAAACTAACTAATCATTTAAGCATGAAATGTTTTGTTATTCAGAGGTTAGAATTAGGATGGGGTGTCATTTAAAAATGCATTACACTGATATTATTGTGACTGATGTGGACGTTATTGTGGTTCTAATGGGATTGCAGGATGCAATGGAATGCACGGAAACTGGGCCCACTGTTGACCGATTGTTGGATTCAGTCTACCTGAAAAGTAGAGCTGGACTCAGAAGACCCCAAAATGTAGCAGACCTGACTGTCTCCCATCTTCAAGGCATACAGGGGAGTTTCCACCTCTCCCAGGTACTACATTTAAAAGAGGACCATGTGAAAATAAGGGATTTGCAAAGATCTAGAGCAAGTATCTGTTACCCACACGACAGTTTGCTAACGATTTGCTTTCTATTTCCACACTGAAGTCCTTGCTGAATTACATAAACATACATCTAACACATTTTAAAATAAAATTTTGAATTTAGACAAGGGTCTTGGCACAATGTATGATTGTTATTTAGCTATTCCTTTCTTCTTGTCCACTTTCTTTTAGGTATTGCTCCCAGAATGTGGTGACAAGGATGGGGACGACAATGATGATTATGATCACAGTGGAGTAGATGAACCTGATGGTGCCAGACCCTCCTTAGGCTTGAGGGGAGGGCCCTGTGGGGATGTGAATACTGCAGAGGCCTCAGGCAGTACCAGTGAGGATGACACAAATCCTCTCTCCACCTCCTTGGAACCCAAGTATTTCTCCCAGAGCTTCCACCAGGAACTAGAAGATTCAGACGAGTGGCACCACTGTCCAGACAACCTGGAGCTGGAGTTTCAACAAGGCAATACTTTTTCTTTTTGATGTTCAGATCCGAAGTTTACTTAAGCTGCTTTCAGACATGCATTGAACTCCGGAGATCCTCTGCAGCTTCTCTGGAGGAGATTTTTTTGCTGTTGTGAATACGTTTAAGCAGAGAACCCCCTGCGTTGTGCATGTGTGAATGGCAAACTAGGCATCCTCTGTAGGACATCTACATGTCTGAACTACTATTAATAAAGCCGTTTAGTTAATACTAGCCACTCAAAGCTAGGCCTTTCCACAAGGATATAGAGTTGCTAGCTATTTGGTCCAGGGAGATACCCCTTCAGAGAAAAGTTTGGATGTATAGTTCCAAATTTTGTACTTCTAGTACATTCTGGTGCCATTACGCCCTCATATACAGTGATCTTAATTATTTTATGTTACAATGAGTTTGCCTGCCCAATTATATGTGGGAATTGGAAATCTAAGAATAAACTTTCATTGCAGATTGAATGACTCTATGTCAGAGTAAACCAAAAATTTACTGCAGGAAGTTTCATGTGATAATGACTTTCTAAAATAATTTTCACATTGACTTGAAATAGAGGCCAGCGATTTACAACTTCTTAATCTATTAACTCAAAAATGTATTCAATAAATTAGCAGCTGGAATTGAACTAGTAGATAGCTGTTCAGCCAATGCCTACAGACAGCTTTGCAAGCTTATTCATGCAGAGTGTAACATTAACAACACAGATTGTGTCTTTAGGTGCCAGCACCACACATAATGTTGTGTACCAGAATGAAGAAGGGCAGTGGGTGACAGACCTGGCTTATTATTCCTCCTTTGAGAAAGAAGTTGATGGGAAGACGTCAGAGAATGCTGGCCAGTTTCAAACTGAGGACTTTGTTGACCCAAGTAAGTAAACAGCACTCCTGTAATACAAGGACATTGTTTTATTTTGTGCAAAATGTGTGAATTGAGTGTTTTGGACCCTTTTTTCCTCCTTTACAGGTAATGCTTTGGAAAAGTTAGCTAAAGATCAAGAGGAGTTTGAAAAAGAGCACCAGTTCATTCAGGTATGCATACACATAGGGCTGGGCAATTGACCAGATATGTATCGAAGCCAACATTAATAACCTCTAACTGACTTAATCTTGTTCATTTATAAACGGTTGGGTTTCTGCTACGCTCATTTTGTCGGCCCAGATACCTTGCACCGTGCCGTATTATCCTACCGCATGTCCTCCCTCCTCACTCCCCCCGCTAATCTGTGCTCGTTTAACACTTCAACATTAAACAACCAGCAATAATCAGAAGTGAGGACACATACAGGACTTGAAGTTTACATTGTGATTGTTCGATTTGCTCTAGAGTTAATGAGATATGCATTTAAAACACTGAGGAAAAAAAAGTCCAACATTTTGTGCGCACAGAGTTCACGTGCTACACATAACACAAGACGTGAATTGACGTGCACAGCCAGGACATCAGGGTTCAAGTAACTAGAACCATCTGGATTCATGATCTGACACTAGATTAATAACTCAATAAATGTGTGAAGAGAGACAGAAACGAGCAGACACACACACTCTCCTACAGACAGGAGAGAAGTTCTATCTGCAGTTTATGAGAGATGATAGGTGGTGTTCTAACTTCATTGTTTATCCATGAAAATAAATAGGAATTCAGCAGGTTTTTATAAAGATGAGTTCTACGTGTAGGAAAAAATCAGAGGAGCAGAGTCACTGAACATTAATCAATGAATGGATGAGAAACATGTATTGTAGTATGTTTGTCAAATTGTAAGGTAACACTAACAAACTTCTGCATCTTTTGACTTGTAGTAAATGCGAAGAACAGATTTGGTAATTTGTTAATCCTCTTCATATAGGAAGAGAAGATTGAACTGGTCAACAGCAACAGCACCTTCCAGAGTGACTCATTGTGCAAGTTCCCCAGCAACAGCCTGATGAGGGCTTCCCAGGTCTCATCTGAATTTAAGCAGGGAGACCAGAGCTACCTGCGACTGTCTTTTGGAGAGTTTTTTGGACAACGCTCTGAAGCCCTGGGCTGTTTGGGCAGCATGAGTGATGTGGATGGAGTTAAACGGGTAAGTGAAACTGCTTTCTTAAACTGCTTACTGAAATTGAAAATTGATTTTACTACCTTGGCTAATAATTATAGTTATTCAAACATAAATCTATAGTTGAGGTTTGCATCAACATTGATGTGTTTTTGGTATCTGCTCGCTGAAAACATGTAGCTGCTAGGTTGTTGGTCAGAAGCATAAGAAATGATCATGGTACAGTAAATTGTCTTAGCTCTTGGGTCAAGTTTTTCAGAGTTTTTCTGGGGGGGTAGAAAAGTGCATTGAAAGTTTCTTTTTTCTTTTTTCCTCTAGCCATCTTTTGGCTACATTATTACTTCTCCAGAAAAGAGGGAGCCATTTCCCCTCATTCACCCCACAGAGTTCTCAGCTACAGTCAAATCCTCACACATTGATACCATGGAGCTTAGTGAAGCAGACAAAACACTCAACCCAGGTGTGTTCCCAGTGTTGCTGTGGCTGAAGAATAATTTAAGGTTCATGTGTTGTGTTTTTATTTAATTCAAAATTAATCGCACTATGCTTTTTGAATTTTACATGCAGAGGACCTAGACAAAACTCTTGAGGCTCCAGGTGAAAGGATGTCACCAAAAGGGGATGTTGATCCAGAATCCAGTGAACAGGAGGTATGAATATGTTA